CCGCCGCCCCCGGGACCGCCGGCCCGCGGCTCCCTCGGCCTCCACCGCGCCTACCTGCGGAGCCCGCTGGGCCTGCTGCGCCTGGGGCAGCTGGCGCTGGGCGCTGCCTTCTGGGTGACGGTGGCGGCTCACAAGTACGAGGGGGCGGCCCACTTCGCCCTCTTCGCCGCCGTCCTGGTCTGGCTCCTCACCCTGGCCCTCTTCGGGCTGAGCCTGCTGGGGCGCTGGGCGCTGGTGCCCTGGCTGGGCTCCCGCTGGCTCCTCACCAACCTGGTGCACGACCTGGCGCTGGGCGTGGGGCTCTACGCGGCCGCCACCGGCATCATGGGCTACAAGGCTGGGCGGAAAAGCTATTGCAACCTGCCGGGCTACAGCCAGCACTGCCTCTACGGGGCCTACCTGAGCGCCTCCGTCTGCGGGGGCATCGCCGCCTGCCTGTACCTCTTCTCTGGGCTCTACTGCCTGTCACGGCGCTGCCGGGACCAGCGCGACATCATCTGAGACCCCGCGGCGCTCGGCTCCCCTTCTCCTCACCCAGCAGACGGAGCGCAGCCCCCCTTCGGGATGAAGTGACCCTGCCGCCCCATCCCCTCCCGGCTGACTGCACCGCGCTTCCTCCGGAGACTCCTGCGCAGACGGATGGACAGAGGCCTTCCCCGAGCACGGCTTCCCCTGCATCCCGCCGAGACAGCGTGGACACCCAGCAGCTGCACAAGCCCCTCTCCCACCCCCAGACAGACGTAGGCTATTGCAAGTGGAAGGACCCAAGCGGAGAGCCTCTAAGAGGGACCCCAATTTCTGGGAGCCCCCCAGGGCCCCTGCCCAACTCCCCTGCCCCCGGCCTTGCAGATGCTGCTGCTCAGGTGGGTGCCGACCTGTCCCCGGGGCAGAGGGGGACTGGCCTGGGGGAGCTGGGCAGGCGGCAGTGGTGCGTAGTGGGGTTGGGTGGGCATAACCCCCCCCCCCAACCCACTGGCAGCCCCCTCCTGCCGTTCCCAACTGCGCGGCGCCTCCACAATTCCCTAATGGAGGCTCTGGTATCGGCTTCCCCAGCCCGGGCCCCTCCTCCTGTCTGGCCTGAACACATCCACCGTCTTGCCGGAGCCCCGCGGGGCTCAGCCCCTCCCTGCCCTGGGGGTGTGGAGACACCCAGGTCCCACGCAGCCTGACCTGGCGTCACCCTGGCCCCCCGGACACGCTGTCCTGTTTGGGGGCTGAGCCCGCGCAGGGCAGCAAGGCCTCCGTCACTCCGGGGTGAGGGGAGGTGTGAGCGGGGCCATAATCTGGTCCTGTGACCCCAGGCAGGGGGTAAGTTCCTCCAGCCTTGGGGTTCATACTGCCCCGGGATGGGGCCAGGTGCCCTGGGGTTGAAGGGAGTGGGGCACTGGGTCGTTCTCTTCCCCCTGCCCTCCTGCAGCAAGGTTCATGGCTCTGAGCCACCCAGAGCCATGGAGCTTGCCCCGGGGCCTGGCTGCTCTGACAGGGACAGGCATGGCCTCACCGGTGGCGCTGGAGACTGGCCCGCAAGCCCTGCCTGGCTCTGCAGCGTTTGGTTTATCATCCCGGAAAACTCTCATCTTGGGACTCTCTGGCTCCATCTCAGGGCCCTGCGCTGCCCAGAGAGCACAGCGAGGCGGAGGGGAAGGGTGAGCACGGCAGCATGGGGGTGCTGGGCTGCCGCTGGCACTGTGGCTGCGGGGGAGCTGGGGCCAGGCGTTGCAGGGACACAGTCTGTCTTGGGGAACAGGAGAAGAGGACGCCAGCAGCCGGGCCAGCCTGGCCCTGGATCAGCCTCTAGAGCCCGCTGGGTGCCAAGCCCTGACGAGGCCATGTAGGGCCAACTGGAGCAACAGGCAGCCAGAGACTGGGAATTTTTAGAGGAGCACCACACCAGTGCTGCCCTGCCACAAGCCCTCCTCGCCCTGCCTGGAGGCAGGTCCTCTCCATCGCTCCCGGTGCGAGGGAGGGTCTGCCCCAGTCTCTGTGTGGGCTCAGATCGGCAGGATGGGTGTCCCCAGCAGCTAGCCACGGGCTCTGGCTGTTGCCTGGGATTCCCTGGTGCCTTTTTTGGGGTGGAGAGCAGCAGCTGTGATCCCCCTGGGGCTTGGAGGGGTCTGGGGTTAGCGCTGGGTCACCGCTTCTGTCATGAGGTGCTGTCCCAGCCGATCCCCCCTCGTGCTTGGGAGCCCTGCCAGCCCCTGGGCCATCTACCCCTTCCCTGGGCAGAACGTGCTGTCCCTACCCTGTGTCAGGGCTGGTCCCCGACACTGCCTGCCCCCGCCTGCTCCGGTGCAGCCCCTGGCCCAGGCTGCCTGAGATGACCAGGGGGGCTTCTGCTGCCACAAGTGCCTTTCCTCGGCTTTCTGCAGCGCTGCCTGTCACGCCGGCTCTGTCCTTCTCCAGCCCCCTTTCTGGTGCCTATGGATTCATCTTCCAAATAAAGCAACATTGGCGCTCACCGGGTGTCTGGGGCTTTGTGCTGGGGCTGGGACCTGCTGGGGACAGGGTCTGAGCTGAGATCACACCCGGCTCTGTAGACCTGCGCCCTGGGGCCTCCCTGCCTGGAGCCTCTGGCCATGGTCACAGCATCCTGCTGTGCTCTGGGGTCACGGGCAGGCTCCCTGGTGCTGAGCCACCACTCCTGGTAGAGAGGCTTAAACCTCTGCCCTTGGGGACAGGTGCTGTCCCCAGCCCCTCTGTCCCCTCCAGAGACAGAGCACAGCCTGGTGCTCACGTGGGTGCTGGGTGCCGTGCAGAGGGAGGCCAAGTCCCCCGGGGTTGTGTGATCACAGGGACGTGCTGGGGACAGGATGGAGCTGCATGCCTATGTGCTTTGTCACTCTGGGCTGAAAGGGCTCTCTGTCCTGGGGCCAGGACACTGCTGGGCAGTCATGCCCACGCTGCTGGGCCCCCAGAGAGCTGGGGGCAGCCAGCATCTGCCGGGGCTGGCTCTGGCCCTGGGCCGCACTCTCGGGATGGGGATCAGCTTTGGATCTCTACCTGCAGCTGGGGCGTCACCAGGTCCCCCCAGGCCTCTGCCCACGGGACACATGCCCTGCTCACCGGAGGCCGCGGGCAGCCGGTGGCAGCGTTGAGCCCTGTGCTGCCCTCGTAGCCTGAGAGCCGGCATAGGGTTAACAAGGTCGCATGGAGTGTTACGGGATGGCATCCCCCCTTTTGGCATCGGATGCAGCCCAGGGTCCCTAGAGCAGCCCTGGGAGCCAGCAGCCCTGCCCTACTGCAGTCACCTGGACAGACAGCCTGTGGCGCCCGGGGGGGTGGGAGCAGGACCACAGGCTGCTATGCAGGGCAGCACCAGCGCAGCCAGGGCTGGGCTGCTCTGGGGACATGGAGGGGCAGCAGATGAGCTGCCAGCCACCCTCAGTGGCCTGGGGGAAACCCCCGCTCCCTCCCGGGGACCCCCGGTGCAGGGCGTGGGGAGGTGCCCCAGCACTGGGGACAAACCCACAGTGCCCCGATATGGCTGGGACCAGGCTGTGCGGAGACCCAGACTGGGACTGAGCCCTGGACCAGGATTAGACCTAATTCAGGACCAGACCCAGACTGGGACTGAGCCCCGGACAAGGATTAGAGCCGGATCAGGACCAGACCCAGACTGGGTCTGAGCCCCAGATCAGGGTCAGACTGGGATCAGTGCCCAGCCCTGGACTGGGACTGGAACCAGACTGGGACTGACTCCTAGATTGGACCGACCCAGATCGGGACCGGGCCGGGACCCAGATTAGCCCCAGGTCAGGGCCGAGCCCCACATGTAGACCGAACCCACCAGGCCCGAGTCCCGGCCCCAGGTCAGTCCCGAGCCCCACGCCCAGACCGGTCGCAGGACCCAGAGCACACCCACGGCCCCGCCGCCGAGGGGCCCCCGCGGACCGGACCGCACCAGACTGGACCGCACCGCACCGGACCGGACCGGACCGCGCGGGGCGGCGCGGGGCGGGGCCGGGCCGAACCTCCGCCGCTTCCGGGGCCGAGGCCTCTTCCGCCCCTTCGCCCGCGTAGGGGCGGGGCTTCGGCCCGCGTTCTCTAGCGCGGCTCTTCTGATTGGCTGCGTGCCAGCGCCGCGGGTGAGGTCACGGCGCACCTGGCCCCTTCGCGGAAGTGGTGTGCAGTGCAGGGCCGAGCTCGGCGGCGGCGGGCCCGGTCCGGCTTGTTCCGGTCCCGCTCCCCTGGTCCGGCCCGTCATGCAGGCGGTGGAGCGGGACGGGGCGGCAGGCGGCCCCGAAGGGGCGGCGGGGGGCGGTGAGGCCGTACCGGAGCCGTCGCCGCCCAAGGCCGCCGCTGCTTTCGACTTGCTGGAGCTGGTGCGGAGCTACCGGCGGCTGGAGCTCTACCTGGAGCCGCTGCGGGATGCCGCCGAGGGCGTCCGTTCCCTCCTCCGGTAGGTGCGGGCTGGGCCGGGACCGAGACCGTCCCCGGGGCCTCGCGTTCCTCACCCTCCCTCCTCTCCGCAGGTGGCAGCGGCCCGTGTGCTCCCTCCTCGTCTGCCTCGGCCTCAACTTCCTCCTGCTCACCCTCGGCCAAGGTGCGTGTGGCCGGGACAGGGCCGGTCCCCTCCCCGGACCCCCGGGGCTGACGCTGTCCCGCCTCTTCCAGCCGCCTGGTACTCGGTGCTCGCCCTGTTGGTCCTGGTGCCGGCCCTGCTGGGCTACCTGCAGGAGACGTGCCGGGCCCGGCCCTCGGAGCCAGAGCTGGTGCGCAGAAGGTACCACAGCGTGCGCCGGGAGGACCTGCGCAGGGTGCAGCTCTCGCGGCAGGAGGCCATCGTCCAGGTCAAGAGCTTGTGAGTCTCTGGAACCCGCCTGGCTGTGGGGCTTCTGGGGCCTCTGCAGCCGGGAAGGCTTCTCTGTGGCTGTGGAGGGCCTGGGTTCGTGCCAGCCTGACTGCCGTGAAGTGTCTGAGTGTGGGGGAGCCAGGCTGTGTGTTTGTGGGGCCTTTTCCTGACTGTGAGGTCTCGTTCACAGCCTGATCCAGCTGGAGGGATTCCTGAGCGGGATGTGCTGCAGCTGCGAGGCAGTGTACCGTGTGCTGTACTGGGAAAACCCCACTGTCTCCTCCCAGTGAGTAGTACTGGGTCAGGCATCCTGTGGCGGGCTTGGTAGTGAGAGGGGCCCGGCCAGGCCTTTGGAGCTGTGTTTGATGTGTTTGGTACTTGGAGAAAGCAGGTGGAGGACCAGATGAAGGAAGGGGGCTTGTGCTGTGGTGTGTGTTGCTCTACCTTGACTGAAGTGTCCTGCTGCTGCTTCCCAGGTTTTATGGGGCGCTGCTAGGATCTGTCTGTGTCCTTTACCTGCTGCCCCTCTGTTGGGTCCTGGCCATCCTCAACAGCACCCTCTTCCTGGGCAACACCCAGTTTTACCAAGGTAAGAGACCTCCCTGGAAGTGGCCTGTGTGGGATGGGTTGGGGAAAGGCCCTCTGAAGTCAGGGATCCTGCCCTGGACCTCTCCCAGCACCCTCATGTGAGCCCAGTATCCTGTGTCAGGCTCTGCCATGGGACCTGAACCCCCCTGAGGGCAACTATGTCCTAGGGATGGTGCTCAGCAGCCCAGGTTCAGTGATGGGGTCCTGGGGCTCTGCTGTGAGAGGTGAGTCTCTCCTGATGCGTGCCCTGGCCTGGATGCTGTTTCCTGCTCTCCTATGCTCTGTGGCAAACCAGGGCCTGCCACCACAGCCTGTGCATGACCATTGCTACTCCTCTCAGTCCCTGACCCTGCTCTGCAGGACTTGAAATACTCTTGGTGCCTGTGGCAATGTATGACGCAGGCTTGAAAATGTGCTGTCGGAGGGAAGGAGAAGAGCCGGAGGCGCTCTCTGTTCTGCGGCACGTACTGGAGGAGAGTTGGATGAGATCTGTGTGGCTGAGCTGTGACTAGGCTCCTGCTGTTCCCTATCCTGAGCTGGGAGTGTGGGGAGTTCCTTGCTGCCCTAACTTTGGTGTGTGAGCAGAGGAGGGCTCGGGGTACCTGACAGGTGAAGGTTGTATGTGCCAATGGCCCACCTTGAACCCTGGAGATTGGCTTCTGCAGCTGGCTTTTGTGTGGTGGGGCTGGGAGAAGGAAAGTGTCACCCTGCCCCAGCCACGTTCCCCTCTTGCCAGTGGTAATGGAGCTCAAGGCCTCGATTGAGCAGTGTGTGGGCACCAAACCCCTCGAGAGCACTCCAGAGCCTGCCGAACCCCTGCCAGCTGCTGCCCCCCCAGATCGGACCCCCACACCCACCAGCACAGAGGTGAGATATAGGCAGGGCTGGCAGTTGTGGGGTGGGAGCTGCGAGGTCAGCCCTTTGGTTTGACTGTGCCTGTGTCCCTCTACCCACAATCTCGTTCCAGCTGCCAGCTTTGCTGGAAGGCTGGGACCCCCCCCGAGTTACTGGGGGGCTGCCCTGCTGTGCTGGGGGCTTGGCTTAGTCCTTTTGCTGCATGTAAGAATGTGGTCTGGGGAGGCAGGGACTCGCTTCACATTCTGGGACTCATGTCTTCTCATGGGGCTGCCAGTGGCCTGGTCCTTTGTCCCGGAACCTGCTGCAGAAGCGTGGGCCCACCTTTGGGCAGGGTGGGGGTACAGCAAGACTAGCTCCGTGAATCTCCTGCAGGACCTTACCCCTGGCAGCGTGGAGGAGGCGGAGGAGGCAGAGCCTGATGAAGAGTTCAAAGATGCTATTGAGGTTTGAGGCTGGTGGGGGGTGGGCTGTGCCTGCAGGGCAGCAGAGGTGGGAAGGGCTGAGGGCCTTGATGGGCAAGCTGGGTGCTCAGGGAGGGTGGCTGTGGGGCTGGGCTCCTCTGACTCCATCTGTATTGCCTCTACTCTCTGTCCCATGCTGCGGGAGAAGGAGAACCAGCTGCTGGTCATGGTGAGTACTGCCATGCCAAGGTGTGCAAGAGGAGCACCTCCTCCCAGCTGGAGCTGGTAGCCTTTGCATCATTTGCCAGTGGCTTGTGGTGATGCCAGGTGGAGCATTCTGCTTGCTGGGTGCTCATCTCTGGGGTGGGCTGCCCTGCATCCCCTGGGTGTACCCCCAGCCACCCTTGTGTGCTCAGCTGGCTCTGCTCTTTGCAGGAGGATGACGAGAGCTCTCAGTGCTCAGCAGATTTTGACCTCAGCCTCCCGGACAACGGTTTTATGAGCAAAAACGAGGTGATCCGCAGCAAGGTGTCACGCTTGACCGAGCGTCTGCGCAAGCGCTACCCCAGCAACAACTTTGGTAAGGCTGGGAGCAGGTGCTGGTTGGGGGAGCTCAGCAGAGTGGGGTCTGTGCTGCTCCCAGTGGTCACCACTGAAC